CTCTATCACTTCTACCCCCAACCAAAGCCCGAAGTACAGCCTGCTACAAACCCCTCCACTGTTCCTCAGCCACCACAGCCTGAAGCCCCTCAGCGTCAGGTACACCAGCAAATGTACTTGTGCCCTGAAAATCAGCCTGCCAGAAATCCAAATGCTGCTTTGGCATCAGCAGCTGAAAGTCTTTTGGGACAAGTGCACAAACTTTGTCAAATATCTGAGACACCAGCTGGAACAAATGAGGAAAATCCAGTCCAAAGCACACCACCTCTTCTCAGATATCCACAGGGTCAGATGCATCACCTACTTAACCAGCTCTATTACCCACAGCAGCTCCAGCTGCTACAGCCTGTGACATTACCCTCTGCTACCTATTTGCAGCCACAGGGTGCTGCTAAACCCAGTGACCAAAAACATCCTGAATCTGCAATTCCAATAACTGTCAATAGTTATACAGCCCCGCAAGATCCTCAGCTCAGCTCTGCATATATGCAACCTGTGTGCTCCTTGTCTAACTGCTGTACACAAATGACTTTTTATCAGCTTCTCCATATTACTCCAGCTAGAGTTGGCAGTTATGCAGATGTGCCTCACTTTTTTCCAGATCTTTCATTTCCACCTACAGCTTCATATTTTGAGTTTGGCGTGGGTTCTGCAAGACTTCCTCAACAGCCGACTGAAGCAGCACAATCTGCCTCATCTTACACCTCTGTGCCCCTCTCACTGCACCCCTTTCCAGCTCAAAATGTGGAGCAATTATATTTACAGCCACCAGATGGCAACCATACTACACCGCGAGGAAATGATCCAAGTTGGACTGCAAATCATGAACCACTGAACCGCGTGAACCCCGCACCTAATTCACTGCATGCCCGCTGGCCGTATCTACACAGCCAATCCTCAGAACCTCTGCCTTCAGGTTATGACCCAGCAGGGCGATATCAGCTGAATAACATTAAGTCCCCAGTGCAGGTAAACGGTCAACTATTGACTGGGAACTTGAGCCGTCCAACGTGGCCTAATTTTATGTCTAACAACCCAAATTCACAGCAGCAACACAATAAATCACCTGGAGAGGAACTTGATCATTTTATGGTTCCTTTCGATAGGCTTCAGCACGCTCCTGTATCCACTTATAACAACTCTGTGTTCCCGAACAATTTAAAACCATTCATAAGTGACTCAAACTCCAAACATGAGCAGACTCTAAATTTCTATTCTGGGAATTATGTGCTGCTACAGCGTGAACCACCAGGCAGGGAGCCCAACAGCTTCGTGGATTCCTCTGAGCTTTACAGAGATCCGACTGTTGATTTAAATTTTATGACCCAAAATCTTGCAAAAGAGCAGAATGGTAAACATCAGACTCCACTGAATTTTAAGCCCCTGCAGGGAAATGAACAACTCTCCAAGTGGCTTGAGGAAGGTATTCCCACTCCCTCGCCTGGTAATGCTAACCATGATGATGATGATGATAATGAAAATGAAAATGAGGATAATGATGACATTAACAATTCCGGTCTGCCATTCCTTTCTCCTACTACGGATGGCCCTCCACTTATATTTCCCCTCTACAAGCCACCTTTAGGTGCAGCACAGTTAAAGCTAAAATTCCACGAATCCTTTAAAGACTTCTCGACTCCTTTAGGCTCCAGCAACAGGTTTCCACCCCATAATGCTCAAAAGATGTTTCAAGGATGGGGCTGAGAAGCTGATCACTAAGCCGGTGGTAGTGTGTAGCTGAGGCAGGTGTTGAACTCCTTACCCTTGTTGTTTGGACTCATACGAATGTCTCTTGAACTCCTTCAGAAGAAGCATTGAAGTTGGAAGCATGAAAGCAGCAATTTCTAGCAATGTGAATAAATAGTGCAACTACCCAAAACGTGTGCTTTGAACTTTTTTTTTTCTGGAGTGTGTGTTGGGCAGAAGGGCATAGAATTCATATCTGCTGTGACGTAGGTCGTGACGGACGACCTCTGTTTGGCTGCTTTTGCAATCAGTTTACCCAGTGGGGCCATAATATCCGCTTCTTACACTTGGAAGGTACACAGCCTTTTTTGAACCTGTTTGTCCAGCTTGTTTGTGCTTTAGCATGATATGCATTGATCCGTTCTCGTAAATGCAATAAATGGAATTTGCCCATTCATAAACAGTTGCCTGGGGGTGGGTGGATGAGTGCTTGTGTGGTGAACTTGAAAATCAAGTGTTCCACTGCTCTCATTTGTTTTAGCACACAATGTTTGTCAGTAAAATATACTGTGTAATGAAATCTTTAAAAAGCGTGTGTGTGTGTGTGTGTGTGTGTATGTTCTTCTTCCATGACTGTATGAGAAGTGTCAGCGGGTTCACAGCAGGATTGAATGCACTGTAAACTTCTGCACTTGTTCTGAAAGACTTTGCAGGGATGACTGAATGCATCATGGTACATATAAGTGTGCTCACTAGGCCTGTAAATGTACTGACATAGTCGATTGTTTTGATTTCTAAACACACTGACTGAAGATTTAATGATCAGCATGACATTCAGTTTTACACAGATGATTGTCTGATTTGACAGTTTAAAACAAATTATTCCTACTGCTACTACTGGACATGGCTCACATATCAAAGGTGCTCTGCTACAAATGAAAGCAAGTATAGAGTCTGTGAGACTTGGACACTTAGAAGAATCTGACTCTTCCTGGGCAGACTGGCACG